TTTTTCCCCCTTTTTGTGGTAAAAAGGGGGGGGTCCGGACCCCCTCGACCCCTTCCCCCCTGGATCCGCCCCTGTACTGTCGTAGGACGTTCCCGCGGTCGCGTGCGCCTTGCCGCGGAACTGCGCGCAAGATCTGCGCTCAGCGCTTCGGATCAACACTTCCTTTCGGCAACGCTTCTCTAGTATCCCGTCTCATCTGGATATACCACTATTAGTATTACCATAGAGCTTATAATGATCATTATAATTATCATTATAAGCTCTTTGGTATTACCCTGGTCCCCTGGACTCTTGATATATCAGGAGTGAATAATAATAGAATATTATTATTCACTCCCTGAACATCGAGTGTTATATAATGACAAATTTGTCATTATTAACCATAGAAATAGAATAGAATTATATTTCTTCTACTCTTCTATTATTCTATTTCTATTTCTATTTCTATATCCTGATATCATAAGCCGGGATCATAATAAGATCAGCTCTGATAAGCTCAGCAGCAGCCACCCACTTTCCTGTAGTAAGAGGTTAACGCTCTAGTGAGTAGGCCCTAGCGGCCGTTACGAGCAGGAGCGGTAATCATTAACGTTATCTACGAATAAGCATATAGTGGTACAAAGGCGACACCTATCGAAAGCAAATGCACAACTACCCAGGCGCGAGAAGCGTAGACGGGTACCCATCTCTCCTACGTGGTTCGATTAACGAGATAGAGAGACGTAGTACTCGTCTATACACGGCGTTCCCGGCGGGCGTCTATTTTCGTGTTGCGAGATCTTTTCATACACAATGCAGGTTTCAGAAGGTGTTTCGAAGCAGATTGTGCGGGAAGGAACAGGAAACTACCCAAAAGCAGGTGATAGTATCACCGTGCACTGCACTGGATGCTTGACTACACCACCAAAAAAATTTTGGAGGTACGAAACGGTCTAACTAGTAGTAGTACTAGTAGTAGCAGTAGTAGTACCAATGCAATGGCAATACGGGCAATAATAATAGGCGAGTGAGTAGTGCCAGTGGCACTGGCAGTAGTGCCACGCATAGTATAGCGACAATTTGCTCTAGTAGTAGTACACATACCAAGCTGTCGTCGGTCGTCTCTCCCGTTCTACCCAAAAACCCTTTCTTTTATCTGCCTCTCCCTCCTCTGTTTCTGTTGTAATACGTTGCAGGGGGCCAAAATGGTTCAAGGATAGAGAACATGGGTCCCAATAAAACCAATGTCATTTACATCAATATAAATATAATATTATATCAATATAATATTAATAGGTTAGGGTTATGGTTAGGGTTAAGGTTAGGGTTAGGATTACCGATTAGGGTTAGGGTTAGGCACATTGGTTTTATTGGGACCCATGTTCTCTATCCTTGGGCCTCCAAAATTGCCATCGAGGCAATGGAATCGGTAGAGGGCTAATTATTTAGAATTGATGAAAATTCTAACCCCCTCGACCTGTTTCCTCGTTTAGTGTCCAGGGTCGTTGCACCCACGACCTGTTGCGAGCATCGTCATTAAAGTACCCCCTTCATGACGGCTGGTCGACAACTTAGCCGCATTCTTGGGGAAGTCTATGCGTCCGTACCATTTTGGAATGCCTACTGTCAATGTTAATTTATGTCTGTAGCGTTCTCTATTTACTGTGCTGGATACAACATAAGCAGGAAGACATGGATATGCAATTAACGTGACTAAGTACATGGTGTAGCGTATATTCTCGTGGTCGTACTGTACTCACCCCTGGTGGCAGAGAACACAAACACCAGACACATCACTGAACGTGACATCCCCTTCCTTGTAGATAGTTCCATGGTAGATAGATACATGTACTAATTCCTAAATACACCAAACAGGTCAATTATAAAATCTTTAAAGTGAATACGTCACGAATTTCTAGCATATTTGTGCGTTATTTGTACAAAATAAAATGTATGAAAATACAATTAGTGTTTCTGTTTACTTTTCATGCTTATATACCTTCTTTATATGCCCTAATTTGCCGGTGAAAAACAGAGAGACGCCAGTATCTGAACAGTACTGAGGGAATAGTGTTAGACAACAGAAATTACTAAATCGTCCAGAGAGACCGGATACAAGATGGCCTTGCGCAAAAGATGCGTTGTTCCCCGACCGCCGAAAGCGGTTAAGCCGCGCACTTCCGCGGGACTGGGCGCACGCGACCGCGGGATGTTATGCGTATAGCGGGCAGCCTAACATCGCGCAGTTTTCGGGACACGTACATCGGCTCGGCTACATCGGCTTTCGAGGGGGGGGTTTTCGGTTATTGATTCACACGCGCTTGTACATCCTCGCCGTCGTACCGTCACCTGCCGTATTTTCCTACCTTATCTGGCGTTCTCCCACTATCTTTCTCTCTTTCTCGCACTCCCCGCAGTCTGTCTCTCTCTCTCTCTCTCTCTCGCTCTCGCTCGCTCTGCCGCCACGGGTTATGTGCATATATTTATTTGTGTGTCAGTGGCGGCGTGTTGTACGATTAGCTACGTGTAAAAACTCG